TATCAAATCATGTGATACAGATGTATTAATTATTATGATAGGAAATATGGACCATTTAAAAAGTGATTATTTATTTGTATAGATTTTTAAATTAGTAACCCCCGGAGAAACTGTCTGCCTTTTTGTGAGAATATTTTATTATACATAATAAACACGCTGTAAAAATGGCAGACTGAATCAAACACTTTTTTTGGAATTTTTGAAAATACAACTTTGTGGTCGTCTGCCCCTATGTAAACCCCTTCAGAAGTGTCTGCCATTTTTTTTCTTAATTGTTTATAAACTTAGCTAACGGATAGTCATTATTATTATTTGAATCAAACACTTTTTTTGGGCAAATTTTTTTTCGACTTAACTGTATGCGCAGTACCAGGTGTACCCAGGTAGGCCAGGCAGACAGTCATATACCTGCTTATTGAGTCGACTGATACCTTTAAACAAAGTTTCATGATGCATCAAACACTTCATGAAAAATGCGTCATGAGCTCTCGGACCATATGTAATTAACATAATTCTGCCATCCACAGTAAAATCACCCCAGTAACAGATTGTAAAATATAGTTATTTTTAACCGAAAAATTAAAGGAAAATACGATGCCATTTGAAATAGTAATTTTTTATTAGTTTTTGTTTTTGGCAAATTTATTAACGTGGCAATACAAATACACATCAATTAAATGAATCAACCAATACTTTATTAATGAAAGACTGCAGAAATTAGTAAAGGGTACTGTGGACGGTGGAAATGTTGGTGCAACTTTGCTAATCATGCCGCTCTCTTCTCTCACGCTGTTGCATGCGACCGCACTGCTCTGGCCCGGCTACGTGTTGCTGCCACGTATCGCCACGTGTCGCCACGTATCGCCACGTATCGCTAACGTATCGCTCGCGGCACGCAGCAGGGGGAGACGTCGGGCGACTACAAGCGCGCGCTCGTCGCACTGCTGGGGCCCGCGTGAAGACTCCAAGCAGACAAACTTACACCACTTTCCAGTTATGACGTGACACCCGTGTAATTTTGAATTAGATGTAGTTATTTTGTTAAGCTAGACTCCGTACAACTATACATAGTAATAAAATTATTAACATTTATGTTTTCAAACACAGCCGTTATTGTTATTTAAATAAAAGAAACTAGAAAGAAGTTGGTTTTGTGAGAATTTGTCATCACCAGTGATGATAAGCATTTCAAATTGCAATAAGAGCTAAGCCAATTATTTAAGGTGCTTAATCTCATAAATATAATTCTATGTACCTCCCTAATTTATTATAATTTTTGATAGAATGGTTATTCTGTTTTATTGAAACATTATAAAAAATATTGAAAAAATAATAACAATTTTAAAAGATTTGAAAGAGATATTGACATTTCGACAGTTAAGTACAAATTTTGAAATACTCAAATTCAGTGATTTAAATTTTAACATGTTGAATCTCTAAATTTTATAAGAGTACCTATACAATGTTCCGTGTTTTTATTTAATGTTATCATAGTGATTGATCCCAGTTAGCATATTTTTTTTCTAATAGCATTCCATGTTTCTAATTTTATTGATATACAATTATAATAGCTATATAATATTTGCTTTAATTTATGGAAAGGATGTTTTATTACTTATTTATATTAAATTCATATAATTAGAAAGTTTTTGTTTCAATTTAAACACCTGATATTGTGTAAATTGAATAAATATTTATTATAACTGATATACAGCCCAAATTACAACCTTTATTCTGATGATACGTAAAAATTATTAGAGAAGTGGTAAGTGGTGTATCCTCCATCTATCCATCCGTTATAAGCTATAAAAGTCTAGGCTTGGGTAATAAATATAGAAATAACGATATTTATTTTAGAGTATCGAATTCGTATCAATTTGAATATATTTTAAGCAATAAAAGCAGCTACAACAGCATTCATGTACTGTTTAGCGTCGTTTTCTTTCGTCGTCTATCAGTAATAAAAGTTTGAGCCTTACCTAGTACATTATGCAAAACACGCAGATATATCGATATTTATTGATATATTTTTTTCACTTACTCATCCCTATAAAAGTCCATTGATGAACGTAAATCTTCCCCACAGATTGCCTCATAGGGAAGGATTTCACCGTAGTGCCCGCGCTTGGCAGGCGGTTTAGCAACACAGTTCTTTATTATTTTGATTAGTTATCAGGAAATCACAGCTAAGATCTTTTGTTTTAGTGTCCCTCTATCGCCTCTTACGTCACCCACATGCCAATATGGACTAGTGGGTATTCTAGCTACGCCACCGAACGGTAGTGTTGCATAAACACACAATAAACAGACCAAGCTAATTTCGCTTACATTTTATTTGACGTGATAACCATACGTAAGTAAAGTTTTGTCATGTCAAATCTTAGTGAAGAGAGTTTATAAACATTGCACAAGGGCAAACATACATACCCGGAACAATTATTAGTAAGCGAGTGGATGCTGTGGTCCCTCGACATCTACATTTATCCTCAATTAAGAAACAAAATGCAGATGCGTTGTCACCCCTTAGGGCTAAGATGGAATGCCTGGTTTTCGATAAGAAGGGTCTCCGGTCCCCCATACTAATACATTGTTTCAGATGATAAATAGTATCAGACAGTTGTGAGCAAGGTTGTAAAATAAAACATCGGACTGGTCGTGTGAAACTTATTTATTCGCTTCACGCACCTAACAGCCATTTACGAACAACTAAAGTTACATTTGCGCGCATTGCTCCTCGCCGCAACAAACTAACGATGACTTGTCGGCTTGGAGCAACCTCACTCTTACAAGTCGCGGCACGTAAGTCTAGCGCTGAACGAAACGTGGAGGGTACGCGCCGTATTGAATTGCACGAATGCGACTGGAGAGCCAATCAGCGCGACTTCTGCGCAATATCGGCCACCGCTAGATTTTCGTGCCGCTAATTATACAATACATAAACTCCATAAAATACTTGTCAATACATAGTCAAAGCTGAATGTTATACTGAGATAAATACGAGTTGTTGCTGTTGCGTTAAAGACGACTTTATTAATCAAATTACAGTGCACGCAGTTCTTCGTAACTAAGATGGCGTTTAAGCCATTTAGCAAACGAGTGGTTAATTGCCAAATACTCACACGCTACTTAGCTTTAAGATATCGTTAAGTCTCGTGGTGTCACGGTCACTTTGACTTAAAGTAATAGAGACAGCGCGAGACTTAACGGCATCTTAAAATTGATCAGCGTTTTGAGTATTTGCTCGTATATTATATAAGCACCGAAATAATCGTCAATTTTAATTTAAGTACTATATTACATTTTCATCAATTTGTGTAGGCCTTAAAAGGCTTAATTATTCTGACTAGTGCACTGATAAATTTTTAAGGAAAAAATAAATCTATTTACATCCATCTTAAAACTCTTAAATTGCACAATTCACGTCTTATAGTCACAAATGAAATATGGGTACAGTAAACATCCATCGCTATACATAAAATCACCAATCAAAAGGAACAAAGGATTACAAGTAGACGTCTAAACTGAGTAAATATTTTACACCTAGAACAACCGCGATCGCCAATCCTATTTCGGACGTGGCGATTGCGGCGAATTCTTACTATCGGAGAAGCCCAAGTCCAGCATTGGTTTTTACGGGCTCATAAGGATAGTTAGAAAAATACGAGTTCAATAGTCACCAGATTGAGGCTTATATGGGACCCTGTTCATTCTACATAGTAACAGGTTTGAATATGATATAGAATATCATAGAAATATGTCGTAGGAACATCAGTGTCACTTTACGTGTTCTTACACTTCTCATGTGAATCCAAGAATGACATAAGGATTAGGTGACTATTTAAACATTTTTAAATTCTATGAGATACCTATATATTTGTAAATCCAATAATCTAACGACTGAGGTCCCATTTCTATACACACAGCAATAATTTACATAATCTTATAAAATAAATGTTATTATATAATAGTTGTGCATATTTCCATCTACATAGATAATTCAATCATTATAATTATAGTCTCAAATATTTATTAAATCTAATATTTTGGGCTTTACTATGAATAAAATTTACCAGACTTTTATATAGCCCTTAAATGCCTTTTACATTTTTACATATATCAGCTCCACAGACTAAATCCCGCGCCCATCTTCTACAGATCTATAGACACGTGTTTTTTATAAAATTCATAATGAGTATGAATAATTCATTTAAACATTCCATAATATTAATTGAAGCCGGTATGTCTCACTTTACTATCTGTAATATCGTTGTGGATCAAGTGATTTATAGGGCATTATTTATAAGATAGTTTAAAAATCCTCAATGTGAGTTGGTCAATACTATGAAAACTATTGAAATAATCAGATTGACTGAGTTTTATGAACAAAGTTCGTAACTTACTGGGCAGAGCAGTAAAAACAGGTTAGGTTATGACCAGGCAATGTGATAAAGAATGAAGTTTAAATTAGTATTAATTACGTAGCCAGATTTGATTTTTCATCATTCATATTGTCCGGACATTATAAATAGAGCCCTGATTAAACACTTGGTACATAACATATCCATCGTCAACATCTCTACTAGAGATTTTCATTCGATACCACCACTTCCCAAATAACAACTTCAATACTACTATGCCTTTTAAACAGCACTTATAAATTATAATATAGAAAAATATGATAATGGCAGAAAAGTGTCATCTAGAAGAAATTTCACAAACCATTGCAACATTACTTAAATAACGCTGATCGTATTAAAAATATTATTGATTTTAACGAAATTATAAAATTGAGAAGTAGCGAGTCGAATAGATTTCCTAGTACATCCCGCACGTTTGCAAAGTGAGCGCATTAACAAGGGCAGTGGAAAGTTCACGTGGGTGTTGTCTATTCGAGAGCAACTTGCGCCGTGTGTTACGGCGCAGGGGCAGCACAGGGGCGCGAGTGTTGCGGCTCAGGGGCGCCTCAGGGGCAGCTCAGGGGCGGGCGGGGGGCGGGGCGCTCAGTGCTGCAGCTGGAGCTTGGCGCGCAGCTCGTCGAGCGGCAGGACTTGTTCGTCGCCCAGCGCCGGTTGCTGCTCCGTCTTCGACTGTTCGCGCAGCTCTGTGGAAAAACATCAATATATCAACACGTGTTCTTTATTTTACACAGGACAGTTCAAACTTTACAAAAGATACAAAATTTTCTGATTTCAGTAAAAGTAATAAACTAATTTTACGGATTTTATCACGTTTAATTTTAATTTTTTTAAATCTCGACGTTTCGGGCACTTTACAGCACCCATGGTCACGATGGGGACAGGGGACACTGACCGGGCACATAGCCATGGTTACAGTGAAATTGGTTTTTATAGTTAATTGTGTAACATACCATATTATGATTGTAAACTGTATTAAAAAAATGTCCCGCAGGGTTTCTTACTGCTTTTTTTTCTAGATCAGAGACATTTTCCGTACCAGTGGTAAAATAAACATGAAAATGACTTCCAATAAGTATATTCTGTAATATGATCAAAATAATGTAAACAAGAAAATGGTCGCATGTGTGTGTAAAATTGAACACGGTCCCACGAACGTGTAAAATTGAACACGGTCCGACGGACGTGTAAAATTGAACACGGTCCTACGGACTTGTAAAATTGAACAAGGTCCTACGGACTTGTAAAATTGAACACGGTCCCACGGACGTGTTAAATTCACTTTACGCAGCACTCCCCTCTCCGCGCGTTAACTGTATATTTACCATTTCTCTGACAATTATACCTTTGACTGTCTTAAGTAAAACATGTCTTTAATTTGAAACTCCCAAAAACGATAACATACTTCTTTCTATTTAAGTAACAATGTTGTCCCATGTTGGACTGGGTCTTATAGGTGCCGTGTATGGGACTTATAACTATGCTACTTGCCTAGCACGTCGTTATAGCGACTACACCCATCACTTCTTTCACAATTTTCCATCTATATTTTTTATTGGTAAATGTTGTGTGACTAGCTTCCCTCTTTTTGAACTCTGCCTATCAACTGGGGGCTTACATGCGTAGCGCTAATGTTTACATGTAATAATGTTTGTTCGCGCAAAACGCTGTTGTCGGAATCGACGTCTAGGGGTCGCGCGGCTCTGGGCGATACCGGTTTGAAGTTCTTCCGAGCGTGCAGTGGCGCGCGGGTCGCGAGTGAAAAATCAGTCGTCTGTCAGGTGTGCTAACAATTGGCACGCTGCCAATTAAGCGCGGGAACTCGGAATAATTAAGCGCGGACAGTAAAAATACGGTCTAGGAATTTTGTGGCGCGTATCCCTAGAGAGCTTCCCCGGGACTTATTGGGTGCGACTCAGAATCTGTATAAGTGCATTCGACAATATTAGCTAGTGCGGCCTTTGTATTCTAGAACTAACTGTTGCAACGCGAAACGGTAGTGACCTTTGACCCAGAAAATCCGTGCGCGTTTTGGGCGGTAACCTTATAACCAGCGATAGTTAGTGGCTTCTGTAAGTTAGTTAATCGTACGATAGAGTTAATTGACTGTCAACGTGACGAAAGAAGAAAGTGACGGTGGACAACCTCGGAAGCCCCCTCAAGTTGGAGCGGTGTCGACGCTCGGGCTGCTGCCGACGGCCAAGGTCTAGGTTCAATCACCATCAATCACACCCAGATACACATCACATCACTTATTTCCCTTTCACTACACAACCACATGTGACCTGACCGACTCCGAAGGGACCAGTCGCCTTGGATATAGGTAAGTAAGCTCCGCCTAATTCCTCTGCCGGTCGACTGGCCGTAGTATAGAACGCCCCCATATATTTTAGTGTAATTCGAGAGATTCCACGTGGCCACATTGAGGCCCGACCTACGTTTGCTCGGGAAGTCTTCTGCTCATGGGCCCCAGAGGATTGGATCCTTTAAGGGAGCAGCCGTAGGCCGTAACAATGTTTAAAATCAATTTCAATATGCATTATCTGTTATTGTATACGTTGCTAAAAGCATATCCCTAATTACATAGAACTTCTTTGAAATATATTTTATTAGGTTAAATTGCAAGTAATAGGAGAAACAGTCTACTTGTGGGTTCTTGGCCGCTTCTTTTTGCAAGGTCTCCCGCAGTAGGAACTTATATGACCGATGACATAACTGTCATAATTTTCAGTAAGTGCTTTTCAAATACCAATTTACAAAAACGTACTTTGGCTATATCAGTGAGATAATAACGGTATTATTGCTAACTGTTCGCTCCTACTAGGCTTCAAAAGGACTCTGCAAGGCAGTGGCGTATCCAGACAGTGGTGCAAGTACAGTGTACAGAGTACAGTGTACAGCGTACAGTGTAGAGTTACCGTGCCAGCGCTGGAGCAGCGCGGAGTAGTGCTCGGCGCGCTCGTGCCGCTTGAGCTGCGTGCACACGTGCACCAGCCCGCGGTAGTCGTACTGAAGCCGTGGTGCGAGTATAGTGTACAGTGTACAGTGTACAGAGTACAGTGTACAGTGTACAGTGTACAGAGTACAGTGTACAGTGTACAGAGTACAGTGTACAGCGTACAGTGTAGAGTTACCGTGCCAGCGCTGGAGCAGCGCGGAGTAGTGCTCGGCGCGCTCGTGCCGCTTGAGCTGCGTGCACGTGCACCAGCCCGCGGTAGTCGTACTGAAGCCGTGGTGCGAGTATAGTGTACAGTGTACAGTGTACAGAGTACAGTGTACAGTGTACAGTGTACAGAGTACAGTGTACAGTGTACAGAGTACAGTGTACAGAGTACAGTGTACAGCGTACAGTGTAGAGTTACCGTGCCAGCGCTGGAGCAGCGCGGAGTAGTGCTCGGCGCGCTCGTGCCGCTTGAGCTGCGTGCACACGTGCACCAGCCCGCGGTAGTCGTACTGAAGCCGTGGTGCGAGTATAGTGTACAGTGTACAGAGTACAGTGTACAGTGTACAGTGTACAGAGTACAGTGTACAGTGTACAGAGTACAGTGTACAGAGTACAGTGTACAGTGTACAGCGTACAGTGTAGAGTTACCGTGCCAGCGCTGGAGCAGCGCGGAGTAGTGCTCGGCGCGCTCGTGCCGCTTGAGCTACGTGCACCAGCCCGCGGTAGTCGTACTCCAGCCGTGGTGCGAGTATAGTGTACAGAGTACAGTGTACAGTGTACAGAGTACAGTGTAGAGTTACCGTGCCAGCGCTGGAGCAGCGCGGAGTAGTGCTCGGCGCGCTCGTGCCGCTTGAGCTGCGTGCACCAGCCCGCGGTAGTCGTACTCCAGCCGTGGTGCGAGTATAGTGTACAGAGTACAGTGTACAGTGTACAGAGTACAGTGTAGAGTTACCGTGCCAGCGCTGGAGCAGCGCGGAGTAGTGCTCGGCGCGCTCGTGCCGCTTGAGCTGCGTGCACCAGCCCGCGGTAGTCGTACTCCAGCCGTGGTGCGAGTATAGTGTACAGAGTACAGTGTACAGTGTACAGAGTACAGTGTAGAGTTACCGTGCCAGCGCTGGAGCAGCGCGGAGTAGTGCTCGGCGCGCTCGTGCCGCTTGAGCTGCGTGCACACGTGCACCAGCCCGCGGTAGTCGTACTCCAGCCCCGAGTACCGCTCGCCAAATAGCTTCAGACCTGCGACAATACAACATCTTTATATTTCTATTTATGACATATGTATAAAAGTAAATTAACATACACCACCACTTGCTACGACCCCTTACATACTTGTTTCGCTTCGTCCACTTTCCTTATTCCCTTCATAATGGCTCTTTAAATTAAGGCTGTTAGCCTGTATAATATGCTCTAGACCAAATTTCGATCACGGCGGCCAGTCTCAAGCCGGAGGGAGCCAGTCTCAACGGCGTCTATTTAACTGCGCAGGACAGGATTATAGTGACCGAGTGTGTGCGCAAGCACAGGTGCACTCTCTGCTCTCTCACTCTCATAGTCCGATGGGACGGTAATACAACACGACCGAAGACGAGAGACCGAAGCTCAGGCGCAGGACCAACGGCTTTACGTGGTTTTCGAGACACGGGAGTGATATACCATCAACTTCCCGACTCCGGGTTCATACTGAGAATTTCTTGTCAAAAAACCCAGTAACTGATTTTGGCCTATACAATAACAAATTTTTTTGTCAGAAAAACCCAGTAACCGATCCGGGATTCGAACCTAGAACCTAATGATTAGCAATCACGTTTGCTAATACTTTTGTACCTGGTAGAGCCATGCTGCAGCTATATTAATAGTATAGTTGTAGCACGAATGGGTCGGCTCGACCCGGGAAGGACCACGCCGTCACAGAATACCAGCGTAAAATAGCAGCTTAACACTGCTGTGTTTCGTATGGTGAGTGTATAGAACCGGCGACCCTTTTTACTGGAAAAGAGGCATTCAAAGAGGCGACCAATTTTGCTGAGGTTCAGAATAAGTAATATAAATGATTGAAGAAAAAAAGGAAAAAAGAAAAAACTAAATGAAAATGCGTGGTATGCATTATTTTTACTGATTGTCATCCATAAATATGTAGCGCCTACCATTTTATTACGCACGCACATATTCGTAAGGGGGTGTTGAATTCGGAAGCAGTCGGTAACATTTCTCTTCCATTAGCCGTTAGCTATGTACGTTCAACCGGCCGGCCCCGGCCGACAGTGTTCGGTTGACAGTGATCTCATCACGTACCAGTGTCCTATTTTTAAAATTTCGTAGGTTAATTTCATAAAGAAAATATTCGAACTGCGAATACTATGAATCCTTACTTAATAATTAATAAGTAATATGTATAAAGAATTTTACATTTCATAAAGTATCATTAAAAAGTATTATAAAATATTTTAAAACTATTGATATTAAGAAATACTGCAGATCAGTGGGGGATTCCGTTAAAGTTATTGCGTCTATAATAGATACAATCGCACCTCAACTAGCTATTATTTTGAATACTATTACTGGTGTGTTTTCAAATCTTGTAGTACATTAGACCCCGCCAATTTTAACCCAATTTGTTTTTTTTTAATGTAAACAATTTACTTCATAAAAATCAATTCGGTTTCACAAGTTCGACAACTGATGCTGGTGTTGAGCTGATCAAATATATCTTCAATGCATGGGAAAATTCACAGGGTGCTTTGCGTATATTTTGTGATACAAAGCCTTCGATTGTGTTCAACATGAAAAATTAATCAGAAAATTACAACACTACGGTGTAGGAAGTAATAAATACTCTTAAATTAATTCTTTCATATTTAAGTAACAGAACGCAAAAAGTTGTCATTAATAGTATGAGCTCTTCCGGGTCGACAGTACAAATGGGCGTGCCTCAAGGCTCAATTCTCGGCCCCTTTCTGTTTCTTGTATATATTAATGACTTACCTTACATAGTAGGATAACCATAATATAGCGTTATTTGCTGATGACACTTCATTAATTTTCAAATTATAACATCAGGATGCTTTGGGTATATTCTGTGACCTATTATTATAATTCGATTGTGTTCACCATGAAACATTAATCAGGAAACTTCAACACTACGGTGTAAGAAGTGATGCTCTAAAATTAATTATTTCATATTTAAGGCTACAGTCTTTTAAAGTTGACTCACATCGAATCATTAGCGCCACTTTGATTTCTTTTTTTACAGAAAATTATTGTTTCAGAGTAAAATATTTTGATAAGACATAAATACCCAGATTATAAGTAATGGCTAATAATTTTTTTTTTGGTTCATCTATGTGGTCTATGTTAGATAAATCAAACGGTAAATAGAGCTCTCTAGCACCCAACGCAATTTCGAGCTTTGTTCGTGTACCATTATAAGGCAATCGATAATAAATAGGCAAAATCTATTCAGCGCGTTAATAGCTAAACACCTTCATCTTCAAAATGCGCTGTTTCTTTTTTTCTAAATATCTTTCATTGTCTTAAATAAGACGTCTCAATTTCGTCAAATTTCGCTGTTTTCACCTCATAAAAAACTATTTGGTTCATAGCAATTGCTGAAAATATTCATGCTATAATAATTTTTTTCTCAAGGGCAGGTGTTTAATTAGACAAATATTAAAAAATAATCATTTAAACTACCTTATTTCAAAATTAATAATTATTTCGATCGACCTATAAAATAATGACTTTATAAACAATAATTGCGGACAATATTCCTTAGTAGCCGCTAAGCGGCTGTAGCGTTCAGACGTCTTGTCTGCGCCAAATTTTTGCGCTTCCTCTCGCTCTAACATTCCTCTTTCTCTCTCTTTCCCTAACCTTGGTTGTGCATTGTTACGAATTGAAAGTTGCTCTACTTTATTATTTTTTGCATATAATTCTTTAAGGGTTTATAAATCATTTTGTATTTGTTTTATAACTTTTAATCTCGATATGGATCATAAACGTAAAAAATATGCTTGTACCAGAAAAAGAAAATTGAAATCAAACGTTGAAGCAATGAAAAGAAATAGAATTCAAAGGTAAGTTTTTTGTGTTTCATAGTACAATATTTAACAACGTGCATATGTGTGAGCACTTGGTTAAATATTAGGTATATAATTAGGTAGGTACTTTTAAGAATTGTTTATAAATGAGTTGCATATTTGTACCCAGATCCGCTGCTGGTTCTCGCCAATCATTGTCAGATGTTAGCAACATTGAAATTGATGAACACCGTTTATCAGGACATGACGAAAGTAGACTTTTACGAACGACTTTACAAATATAGAGTCTGTAACAAAGCCTGACAGTCAAGATATGGCGAATAAAAAGGAAAGACGGAAACGAAAGTTTGAGGAGGCTTTTCCCTTTCGCCGAATTTCAGTAAGAAAACGTCAGGAGCTTATAAATGTTAGTCAAAACCACCAGCTACAAATTGAAAATTATATAGAAATGACCAATGATGCCGAACTTTACTGCCTAGACGGACGAAGAATTGTATGGATCAGATATTTTTTAGAAATTTTAGGGAAGTATGCTGATCATAATGCTAAATCATTTGGATGCAGATATACAAATCTGAAATGTATCGGTGAGCGACGAAAAGGTTTTGTATCAAAATTACGTTTTAAGTGTGAACTCTGCAATTCAGAGTTCGATATATGCACTGAAGATCCATCTAACACTTGTGATGTAAATCACGGTGTTGTTGCAGGTACAATAAGTATTGGCTGTGGTTTAAGCAATTTGAATGAATTATCAAGTAATACCGATATACCTGGTATGTCAAAAAATTTATACGCCCAAACAAGCAAAAAAGTTTATGAATGGTTCAATATAACGGCAGTGGAAGAAATGACTAAGGCTGGCGTCGAGGAGGCTGAACATGCAAAAAAAAAATTGGAAATGTAGACAGCGAAGGCACACCAATGATTGACGTGATAGCTGACGGATGTTGGTCAAAAAGATCATTCAGTAATAATTATTCAGCATCATCTGGAGCAGCAGCAATAATCGGTGCATATACTGGTAAAATACTGTACCTTGGCGTGAAGAATAAATACTGCATTGTATGCGCAAAAGCTGAAAACAAAAAACTGAACCAGCAAACCACATATGCTACAAGAACTTTTCTGGCAGTTCTTCCAGTATGGAGCCAACAACACTCGTTGAAGGGTTTAAATCCTCACTTGAAACTCATGGATTAATGTATGCTAGATTAATATCAGATGGCGATTCAAGTACTTATAAAAAATATTAGATAGCAATCCCTATAAAAACTGCAAGGTTCAGAAGATCGTGTGTAGAAACCATCTTCTAAGAAATCTGTGTAGCAAGTTGAGAGCACTTACTAAGGATTCACATATACCTATTCAATCAAGGAAACTTTTAACGGACTTCAAAATTATGAAATTACGCAGATATACGGTGCGGGCTATTAAGCTACAGAAACGCGAAAAAGTATCTGACAATCAGAAAATGATCAAACTTCGATCAGATATTTTGAATGCATTATACCATTCTTTTGGTAGTCACTTTAACTGCGATGATGCTATATGCCCAGCGAATGACAAATCTGATCGTAATACGGCACTTGACTTAGCGAACACAGTTTTGTGGAGAAAAATGAGTCAAATTGTCTCATTCTTAGCTTTAAATTCTAAAAGTCTCGTTTTTGACGTAGATAGCAATCCCGCTGAAACATTCAATTCGGTGATCGCTAAATATGTGGGAGGCAAACGAATTAATTACACACAAAGAAATTCATACCAAGAAAGGTGTGTGGCTGCAGCAATTTCTTTTAACACGAAAAGGCCAATATATACAATCTATAAGCGCATATTTGGCAAACCCACTGGTAAACATACGAATTCATATGAGACACAAAAACTGAAAAGAAAAGTGTACAAAAGATCTTTTCGAAAAATATTTCGTAGAAATATGGATTTTTTTATACGATAAGGCTGACAAACGAGCACACAGTCCACCTGATGGTAAGTGGTTGCTGCGGCCCATAGACATCTACATCTATCCTCTATTACAAATCAAAATGTAGATGCGTTGTCACCCGTGAGGACTAAGATGGAATGCCTCATTTCCAGTAAAAAGGGCCTCCGGCCACCTGCACTCACCAAGCGAAACGCAGAGGTAAACCTCTACTTCACGATGGTTTTCTGTGAGGTCGTGGTACCACCTCGGTTCGA